TATGAACGTTATGTAATGTAATTTAAGGATTAATTTCAAAAATAACGATAACAATACAACAATGAAGAAAATATAAAGAAACCATAAATAGATGATTTTACATCCAAAGATCTATTGAAAATTGCTCTTTAAAAAGAGACAAATCCTTATATTTTCTTTAAGAACATTTAAGATCTTAAATCTATAAATTATATTATAAATATTTTAAGTAATTAAGAGAATGATTATGGAATTGATTATGATAAAATTAATAATGCATTAAAAACAAAAAATGAAGATTTAAAAAGAATAATTGATACTAGAATTATTATGGAAGATTGCCAAGCTTAAATGAGTGCTTAATATCTTGTAGATCTAGAGAAAAAGAAAGAAGAGATTTTTGAATTAAATTAAATGATTAGTTAACAAGAGATTGAATATAAACACTAATTAAAGTTATATTTGGATTTGATACAAAATAATAATGAAAACACTAAATAAAATGAAATGATAATAAATTAATAATAAAAGATTGAGTAGATGAGATCTGAAAATCACAATCTCTCTACTATGTTGATAAATCAAAAATAACATTCATAATAATTGAAGTAATAAAATTAATTTCTTATGAACAATTTAAAACATATATTAAATATTCTATTAAAAAATAAAGGATAAAATAATTTAGGATTAGATAAATATGATTTATTGAAAGAGAAATCTACCCCTATTAAAGATATACTTAATAAATTAAATAATTTAGAAGGATATGATCTCATAAATTTAATTTAAGAAGTAAAATTACTTGTTTATTAAAGTGAATCTTTAAAAGTTGTAAATTAAATTTCAGAAAGAGGAAAACTTAATAAACAAACATAAACAGTTCCTATAATATAATAATTTATAGAATAAAAAGATGAAAAAAAATCAAATGAAAAAAAAGAATCAAAATTAATTATGAAACATTTAGAAAGGATTAGATAAGAAAATATTAAATAAAGTAAATTAAAGATTGCCTCTACTTAAACTGATATTAATGATTTAAATTTATAGTAAGATCAAGAAACTATATATAATCAATAAACAAGATTCATGTCATAAAGTCTAAAATGTGGAAATGCACCTTTAAATATGTTAATAAAGTAAGTACAATCTTCATTAGAAGAAAAACATAAAAATTTTAGAGAATTAACTTCAGAACCTTCTTTTGAAAAACATAACTCTATTTTCGATAAATTATATACTTAATAGAAGTTTGAAAATCCTAGATGGCATTAATTAAAGTCTTTAATTGAAAAACTAACAGATGATGAATTCCTTGAAGTTATCAATACTTTAGAAATATATTCATATAAATAATAATAATTAACTTAAAATACTACTCTAGAAATACCATAATATGATATTAGTAGAATTTAATAAACTATTAATTATAAAAGTATTAATAACAAAAGAAGAGATTCAAGTGTAGATTAAACAAAAAAGTATACTATTATTTTATTAAGTGTTTTTATTGAATTAGATGAATAGAGGGAATAAGCATCAAAATTATTTGAATAATAGAGGATTGATACTTATCGAAGAAGAATAAAAAGATTAGTTCCAGTTTAACCTAGTTAATGTTTATAAGTTGAAGAAAAATTAAGACCAAAAAGTTAAATTAGAAGTAGTTAGCAAAAGCCTAGTTACTGATTTATATATGAAATCATTTTTTCTATAAGAATTTAAGTAATTATTAACTTTAATTATTTTACAGACGAGTGTTTGATATCTGTCTCTATAATGCTTATAAACTTTTACCAACTTAATCAAAACTTTGACTAGACATTGTTTATTCTTGCTTTTACTTATTAATAATATAATAATACTCTAATTAATGGTGATTCTTTTTTAATAGTTTTATTATATTTATTTTATTTCTCTGTACTTAAAGATTATTGTGATTGTTCATTTAACTTTTCTGATTTCTAAAGACGATGTCTTTTTTCACCTTTTGAATCTTTTGGTCTTTCTGTTTCTGTCAATTTAGGCTCTAGATTTCTTTATAAATACATAACATTACTAAGTTTCATCATTTGTTTTTTAATACCCACCTTCTTATTTTAAAGAAACTTGTTTCCTACCTTTAGAAAGAGAACGATCTTTTTCTGTATTGCATATTTTTAACAAAGCTTTAAAATTAGCTTCATTATTTGAGTTTTATAAACTTTTTTAGGATTTGTTGGAGACTAATTTACTCAACCTTTCAAAGGCAGATGGAGTCTTTTTATGAAGAATTTCTTTGGGTGAACTATCAAATAATTTTTTATGTTAATCCTATATATAATATTAATCTCCTTACTTTAATGACTTATTCTAAAGATTTTATTTTTTCTTATTATTATTATATAATAATATCTTTTTCAATAGTGATTTCATCTATTTTCTATATTAAAGCATCAATTTATAATTTCTATTATTGTTCTACTCTAATGTGAATTCTAATGGATGCTTCAAGTTTTTAGATTACTGTCTCATAATCATTGTTTAGATGTTCTTCTAATTATTCTTCAAATACATTTTTTACTCTTATGCATATTAATTAAAAGGTTACCTATTTAAATAAGCAATGATTTAAAGAATATTGTCATATTATTACTTTTCTGATTATTCACTAATTTCCTTTAAGCTAATTTTATTGATTTATTCATATGTATCAATGATTTCCTACTTCAAAGAAGATATATTACATTATCTATTACTTCTGCAATATCCAACAATAATTACTTTATAGTATAACTTTGCATATATATATATATATATTAATTAATCAAAATTGCAAACCAGATCTAGTTAAGTGAATATTACTATACTAAGGGATTGACCCTTTTAATTATAATATTATCTTTTTAGTCTTTCTCTGATCAACACTTACTTATTCATCTCTTTGTGTTTGTGAGCATGAATAATCTTATTTTATAATAGATTATTAAAGTCTGCTTTTTTAGAAGCAAATTTATCGCTTCTTGTTATCTTATTGTAATATTTTAGTATCAATTGATTTTCTCAAAGGATAAGATGTTTTTCTTTAAGAAAGTGACCGCTCATCTTAATTTAGGAAACCAATTGTACTAATTAAATTTTATTAAGACTTGTTAGACATTAATTTATTAATCTTTTCATAAGCTGATGGTGTTTTCTTCTATGTATTTAAATCTAATTGAGAAAAATGATTAAGAAAATTATTTTATAAATTTCCTACACTTTCAGTATGTTTATCTTATAATTACAATTACAATTTATGTATTTTTTCTTCAAATTATTTCACTTAGATTTCTTTGTCTTTTATTAGTTCCTCTACTTTGCTATTTAATATTTCAATCTGAAGATTCAGTTAATATTATGTTCTAATATGTTTTCTAACAGAGGCTTCTAAATTTTAGATTAAAGTTTCATAATCATTCTTTATATGCTCATTTAATTATGATTGCAATTATTAACGCATCTAATCAATTGATTTAAAGAGCTATATTATATTGAATGATAATGATGCATCATCTTAATTAATTATTTACGACTAATCTATATCATTATCGATTATGCTCTCTAATTTATGTTTATTCATACATTGTCCATCTCCTAAATCAAATCAAAATACAATTATGCTATAAGTGAAGGTTTCTTATTCCTTTTATTCATTAATAATTTGTTAATTTTATACTTAAATTAAAGTTCTATATATTTATTTGCTATATTACTTTAAGTTATCATAATATAGATTTTATCCTTAAAATTATATTCTTATTTCACAATAAAATTATACAATATATATAAATAATAATAGATTTAGTACTTTGATTAAAAACAAGTAGCCATTGATCTAATCAGATTCAAAATATTATGATTACGCTATTCTTTAACAAAAAACTTTAAATTTATTTCAATTTAAATTTCCAATATATTTTTATATAACAGAAAAATTAAAGAATGAAACTTATGTGTTATTAATTATTATTCTAATTTTCTAGAACATATTATAGAAAAGACACGGCATACATATATGGTTTTATATATGAATATATTATTTTCATCCACTTTTAAAGAGGAGAATGGCAACTTATCCCATATAGAAATAAATGAAATGTTTTGTCTCATGTGTTACATATGAACCAAAGTTTCTACCAACAATACAATGCCAAGTTGGATTATATTTTTTATCAAACTCTTTTTTGATGAAAGCCTAAGATTAAATAATTTGTATATACAGCAATATCTTTTTCGATGTTGAATTTTTCCAATGCTTAATTTGCACAATCAATTGCATCTTATTACATTTCCTCTGACATATCTGCATTTTTAACAACTGCTTTTCTATCAGCTTAAGCCATTTATTTTTCTTATTATTTAATTTTATTAATAATAATTTTCAATTTCCTTTTCCAATTTATATGAAACTTAATATAAATGTAGCATTTTCTTTTTTATTATTATTTTCTGAATATAAGAATTTACTTCTATATGTATTCAATTAATAATTCATATAATTTTATAAATTGAATTAAGGTTTCATTTTATTATTATTTGAAATTCTCAAATTAGAAAATATTTATTTTTAATTTAATTCCAAATTGATTATGATTAAAAAACTTGTCAAATTTTAAGAATTGTTATATACAAGATTTATCACATATTATATTCAATATCTTATAGTTATAAAACAACAGATATAATTATTAGGGAGACAAATAATAATATGAAATTTAATTATAATTTATTTTTTATTATTCCTTAAATTAAATCCTTAAATAATATAGATAATTATAGAAAAATAATCCAATTTTGTTAAAGATAATTATTTTATAAATTATAACTCTATTTTGAAAGCAATCAATAATTATCTTGAAGATATCAAAAATTTTGTGTTTAAAAGACCCCGTCATAACAAAAAATAGCTAAATAGTCTATAATATTTTATTTTATTTATTTTACTTAATATTATAGATGAGAAATTAAATTTTAATCAAATTAATAATAAAAATTAGTCAATATGGTTTTGGTACATTAGTTTATTCTTAATATCTTTTTGTTTTAGGTTTAATTTCTGAAGCTTTGAATTCAATTATGCTACTTGCTTCACTTATTGGAATTAATTATTATTATTGGATTATAGATTTGCTAAGATTAATGATGTAAGAATGAGTCATCTATTTTTCTTCTTGTATCTCTCTTGATTTAATATATTATTCATTTGAAATGTTAATTGAAAATAAAGAACAATCTTTAAATTGATCGAAACTTATGTTACATTTCTTTCCAAAGATAGCAAAAGTGAGTAAATCAAAATCAAAGCCGTTAAATTACACTTTATTGTTTTTCATATAACTCATAAGACTAGTACAATTGATAATATTATTATTGTCACTCAGATTTTAAAAGATCTATAAATAAATATTTAAGAGATTACTTTAAATAGATTGAACTCGTCATTGTTAATGATTTATAATTTGCTATCCTTATTTTGCTTAATCACTTTTATTTACTACATGAGTAATTTTAGAAGCTGAACTTATAGATCATTTTTTGTATGATTGATTTAAGTATTTGATTTATCAAGTAAAAGTTTCGTGAAGTAATTCTAACCTTTTAAAAATTAACAATTACATAAAATTGTTATTTGCTAATAGTAAATCTATCTTTATCACCAATTAACTATATAAATTCAATAATATCCTTATAATTAATAGGTTGGAGATTCTAAACAAAAAAGTCTAACAAATTATTTAAAGTAATAGTATCTTCGCTTTTAGACAGTAACTCAAAAGATCGATATATATTGTCAATATTATTAGAAAATAAAGTATATTTGATAGTTTATAGTTTCTGTTCATAATAGGAGATCATTTTCAGATAAAATGCAATTTATTAGTCCATTATTAATTTAAATATATAAAAATTCATATGATCAATTCTTATTATTTTTATTATGAATGTTCTGTATCATTAGATTTTATATCAGAAATACATTTATCACTGGTTAGAGATTGTTCTAGTTTATCAAATTTGTTTAATCTCAATTTTAAGTTTAAGATCTTATCACTTAATTTTAATTACTCTTCTTTTGTGTCTTATATCTTTTTAATTAATTCTTATTTCTCCAAAATACAAGTTCTTGTTATTTCTTATATTTAGAATGTCAACTATTCTATCTTTTTTGTATATTCATCAATTAACAAGGTTTTTTCTTATAAAATTTCATCTGGAGTCTTTTAAATGATGGCCACAGCATTTGGTTTCAACTTATTTCTTTATGCTTTTGGCATCTCATTAAAATCAAGGTTTGGCTATTTTTACCTAATCTTTTACTCAGTCTTTTTATAATATTCTTCAAAAAGTTATATTTTTTTCTTTAGTTATTATTTTTATGCATTCAACTTTAAGCTCAATCCTTATTAAACTTCTAATTCAAAATATTAAACTTTATTCATATTATGTAGCTATATAGTTTCCTATTTTAATTGTTATTTCTTTTCTTGCAATTCTTTTATTTAATTATCAGTTAAATTTTCTTTTTTACCTTGACGTACTAATTGAAGACAGTACTCCTTAATAAGATCTTCAACATAATCATTCATTTGATCTCCTTCCTTTTTATAAAGTTCAATTTTTTTCTCAACCTAAGAATATTCATTTATTTTTTCTTATAAATAATCCTATAGCATTTTAATTTACTGTACTAAATGTATCAATTAATAATACATCTTTTCTGCCTAATGGTTATAAAACTTATTTATTATTTTTATCAGAAATAATTGATTCTAAAGATTTCAACTTAGCTGTATTAAATCTTTAATAATCTATTCTACTTGAACCCAACCCAGTTGTTTTATTTGCTTATTTATCGCTAGTCATAGATTTTAATTACATGCTTTTTTAATTTAATTTATTAATAAAAATTTACTATTTTGTATAATATTTAATGTTTATAGTTTATGTATATAATTAATTAGTAATATCATTATTTTAGTTACATTTTTAGCATTCTATTTTCCTCTTTAATCATATTGCAACTAGCTTATTCAATATTTAGCAATTATAGATTGGTTCTTAGTTAATATTAACGGAATTCAAATTCTTATTCACATTACTATAATAAATTAATTTAATATTTTACATTCAAATATTAAAAATATTATTTTACTTTTTCACTTGTTGATCCTTCATTTAAAGTTTAAGAGTTGCAAAATCTTTTTACATTAATACTTTTAAAAAATTCATCCAATAATTCCATTTCCTTTAAAAGCGATTAATAATCCTTTTCTTTCTTTTCTAATTATTCTTTAATTTAATTAGTGATATTAATATCCTTTCTCATTTTAGTGAAATCAACTGAATAAATTAGTTTTTCTTCATATTTTTTTTACATGATTTCTTTTTCATCTAATAATTATTTATAACATTTTTATAATGCTGACAAATCAGCATTCAATTTTTAGTTTGCTTTTTATAAAAATAATACATTGTCAGATAATTTCTTTTATTTAATTTCATCTAACTCATTCTAAATATTCATTTACATTTATTAAATAGTCTATTGTAATTCATTTTTTGTATTGGACAATTCTATTTTAGCAGTACGAAGTCTTATGATAAATAGATAAAAATTACTTATCAATTTCTTCTAAAGCTTTTGCTCTTTAGGTTTATTCTAATTTCAGTTCTGATTTTAATTTAATAATTTCATTTTCTTTCATTATTAGCTTTTAATTAATAATATCAAAACTATCTAAGAATTTACCTAATTTTTCTTTCTAATACATAAATTCATCTTTTAATTACATATATTTTTAGACTGCCTCTTTATTCACTTTGTTTTTTTCTAATTCTAACTTCAATACATCATTTTCTTTAGAAATATTATCTAAAAATTTTTAGCTTTCATTATATAAATTAATATAATTTTCTTTTTCTTTATTTAATTACATGGTCATTTAAATTTCATTATTTAGTAAATTTTAAATATTTTCAAACTTTTGTTTAACTGCAACTTATATAGATTAATTAGTAGGAATAGTCTATTCAAGTTCCATTTATTAGTTAAGTTCTTATAGAAAATCAAGTTGCCTTATTTCTAAATTATGATAATTTTCTTTTTCTTTTTTGAGTACTTTCAAACTTTTTAAAAATTTCTTAGATTTAACATTACTTAATTTTCTATATTTGATTAACTCTTTTACCTATTCTTAAATTAAATTTTCATTATCTTTTGATTGTTCTTATAAGGAATTGAAATTTGATTAGAGATTTTCTAATTCAACTTTGATTTATTCTATTTCTTATTGTAATCTTGATATTTCATCACTTTAAAACTCAATAGTTTATGCATCTGTATCCATTTAATCTTTATATAATTATAATTAATCATTTAATTCTGCAATTTTATTTTCTAGTTCTTAAACTTATTGTGATTTATCTTCTTAGAATGTATCTAATTGATTTTCATACTTTTCTATAATTGATTATTAATTTTCCATTTCAGCTATCAATTATTCTTTTTCCTTTTGTATTTCTTATAATGTTTATTCTAACTAAGTAATAATTAATTATTGTTCATTTCTTCTATGTTTTAAGATTGTATCCTCTTAAGATAATTCTAGTATTCTTTAATTTAAGATCTCATTTTTATGTTTTAATTCTCTTTATATTTCAATAGCTTATTATAATAAAAGATCTCTATTTGAATGATCAATTTTAATTGATTCATTATTCTATTCATTATGTTCTTCCAATTCTACTATTCTTGATTCATAATATTCTTTCATTTATTTTAATTCTTTACTCAACTATTCTTAAAATAATTCACTTTCATTAAGTTAACTATTAAGACTAGATATTTATGAAATCAATTCTACTTCTTTTTATTTTTTAGGAAATATTTCAGAATTTGAATTTTATTATTAAAGTTCATTTTTTAATCTCTTAATTTCTGCTTTCAAACTTTCTAAATTACCTCCTACTTCTTCATTAACAATTGCTTAATTTCTAATATTTTTTGCTCTAGATGCAAATTTTAATGTTCCTAAAGTTTCTTAAAATGAAGAACTTGCTTCAGAAATAGTTGCAATCATAACTGTTTTAGAATTCCCTCCCAAACTTTCTCTTAATAAAAAAGTTAATTTGCTATCTCTATATGGAATAAATCTTTTTGGATTTTCAGCTAGAGAATTAATAACTAATCCTAAAACTGTTAAAGACTTATTAATATTAGCTGCTTCCTTAAGTCTTTCACCAGTGGCAGCAGTTAATTTTTATCTTTCACTACCTGCTAAATCAACAAAATTTAATTTGCTTCTTCTGGTATACATTCCTTTAGTTCTTTGTTCAAATTGAATTGTAAAAACTGAATGACTTCTTGAACTCTCAAGATTCATTTAAGTAGCTGAAACATGTCTATTATTAATTCCTCTTTATAATAAAGAAAGAACATCATTATATGAACTTACTGTAATTTCAGTTAGATTCTCAACATATACTCTTTTTGAATCTTCTCTAATAGTAAGTGGTTATGGTTTAGCATCATTTAATAGATCTATTAATTATTCATTATAAATTTCTAAATAAGTGCATTTAATAGAACAAGTATTTTCTTTTGGTAAATCAAGGAATAGTTTTTAAATTAATCTAGGTTGTAATCCTAAATGAGTTTCATCATTTTTTAAGTCATCTAATCCTTTTCCTTACATTGTGTATGTTTTCCCTGCTCCAGTTTAACCATAAGCAAAGATACAACAATTTAATCCATTCAAAAATGATTCAAGAGTAGACATTCCAATTTTATCAAATACTTACTCTTATGTTGAGTTGATTCCCAATACATGATCATAATTGTATTCCTTCTTATTATCTAAAATAATAGAATTATTTGTTGTAGTCACACAAGAATTGGCTCCCAAATGTGTTTCTCTATAGTTAAGCGGTCTAACTCTAACCAACACTCTTATATTTTCCATTGAAAATAAATGCAATTTAAATTATTTTAACGAATTAATTTAAAAAAATTATGTAATAATATGAAGGATTAATAGAAGAGAACACTTAATTAAAGAAAGCTATCATTTCTTCTAAAGCTGTGATAACTAGAAAGATTAGTAATTTAAATTTATAATTATTTTAAGATGAATATGAAACTTTATAAGCAATAAATGATGAATTGAAATAAAATCTTGATAAAATGAGATTAGAGAATTAGGATTTATTATAAAAGTATAAAATAGCTATGCATGATAAAAAATAAACAGAATAATAATTTGATAATGCTACAAAAAATTGGAAACTTTTAATTGAATAAAAATAAAGAGAAATAGAAGAGATTTAAAGTAGATTGACACCTGCTTTTGATTAAGATATGATGAGAATTAAATTATTGAATGAATTAGATTTACCACATAGATAATAATTGGAATAAAAGTAATTAGAGATTGAAAAGTTGAATGAAACAATATATTAATTAAAAAGAAAGATTGATTTGGAATTATCAAGAGTAGAAACTATATAAATAGATAAAGATAAAGAAATAAAATTATTATTAGAAAAACATAAATTAGATATGGCAGATCTTTAACATCAAATATTAGATTTAACAAGATAAGTAGAAGACAATAAAGATAGAGATACAATAAGAAGATTAAGAAAAGATTTGGAAGAATATAAATTAAAATTTAATATTACTGATACTGAAAATGAAGAATTAAGAAATGAAAGAGATAAAATTAGAGAAGAAAAGAATGATATTATGATTAAATTTGCCAGATAGCTTGATACAGAAAGAAATGATAAAAGATAATTTAAAAGTGATTTTGATAAATTATAAGTAAGAACTAGATTTTTAGAAGATGAATTTAGAAAAGAAAAATAAAGAAGAGAACAAGTTTCGACTGATATTGAAATTATAAAAACAGAAAAGATTAATTATTGACTGATTTGAGAAAAAAAGATGATACAATCCATTATTTATAAAGAAAAATTACAGATATGGAAGAAGAATAATAAGAGTAAGAATAAAAAGTTCAAGATAAATTAACACGTTTGTATTAGGATGAACATGATAAATTTTTATAGGAAAGAAATAAAGCAGTTACACTTTAAAAAGATGTTGATAATTTAAAAAAAAGATTTAGTGATCTTTAAGATGATTATAAAGTATTTAGGGATAGATATCAAAAAGAAAATATAGATAATAAAGATTCAATTAGGATATAGAATGAGGAAATTGAAAAATTGAAGAAAACACTATCTCAACAAACAAAAGAAATTGGAGATTTAGAAAGATCAAATAAAAATAAAGAAGAATAAATTCATGATTTAGAAAATGAAAATGAAACTATAAAAAGAAGAAATAGAGAACTTTAACATAGAATCTAATTAATTGAAATAAATCCTATTACTACATCAATCTAAACTCAACCTATTATTAATTAATCTTAACCTCCTACAATTACATAAGTTCCTTAATTTGTATAGTAAAATCAAGAATAATATGATACAACTAAACCTTTAAAGTAATTAAATTCAGTATAATCAGAAAATGATCCTTAAAATTAATAATAAGTATATGCTTAAAAATAATCTCTATAACAAATTACTGAAGAAAACAGATCTTTAATTTCGAAAAATAAAAAATTAAATAAAAAACTTAAAATAGCTAATGATAAAATTCTTGAACTCTCTATGAAAAATACTATCTTAGAAAAATAAGTATAAAGAAAACTTTCTCAACCACCAATTTAAGATATTGATAGATAAAATTTTGGTTTACATGCTCATTCTTAATCTCCATTTAAATAAGATTCTTTTTAATAGTTAGAAACTGAAACACATTAATAAAGACAATAATAATAAACTATTCATACTGATACAAGATTAGATAGATTTGATAAATAAGATAAACTAAATAAATAAGATAGATTCGTTTAATAATCATAAGAGAAATATAGACCAAGAGGTTAATCTGGAATAGATGTTCGTGGAACTTAAGGAAATCCAATTGATATAAGAGATGATGAATTATTAAATAAAGTTATGATGCTTACAGATGCTTCGGGATAGAATAAATAATTTTGGTGATTTTTTCTTTATTTTATTTTATATTTAAGATATGAATATGCATTGAATATTGATAATTTTATTTTATCAGGAATCTTCCCTTTCCCATTTTGAAACCACTTGCAAAAGATTTTCCATTTTTTATTTTTCATATTCTTCTAATGATGTATTCTCAAATTCTTTAGGTATTTTACCATCTGGGAAATTAGATGCTTTAACTCCAGCTATAATTTTATTTGTTTATAAATACATTTTGTTAAATTAGGACTTAATTTAAGTAATGTAATACCACCATGAGTATCACCTACTAAAATAATAGGATCTCTTTAATTGAATGCAATATTAGTTAATCTAGGTTATTTAGAAGGTTTTTATTCTGCAAGTTTCCCAATTTTATCAACATTTAAATCATAAACAAATATTTTATCTTAAGTGGCACAAGCGAAAACTATTAATATATAATTAATGAATACCTGTAGAACTATAAGGTGCCCACATAGCATCAACAACCTACATTCCTTATTCAAAACTCATAATTTGAGTAGATATTTTAGAATCCCATATTTTAACTGTCCAATCAGCAGATGCAGAAATGAAAGTTCTAGAATGAAAATTATTCCATTTAACTTTATACACTGCTAAATTATGTCCCTGATTATAAGAATTATTTATATACAATATATGTTTCTTAATATTATCCTGAATATGCTCTAGAACATTTATGTATTTTTCCTTCTTCAGTACCAACTAAGAAGATATGAGGTTCAAATTTATTAAAATCAAAACATAAACCACAAGCTAAACCAATTAAAGTACTTTCTTCTTCATTCTTACCAACCAATCTTAATCTAATGACTTCTTCTGGTTCTAATTTATTTTTCATCAAAACCCAATTCATAACTCTACCATCTGATGAAATTGAATAAAAATTATAATTCTTAGAGATATCTGGATTCCATTTAACTTGCCATACTGGGTCTGTATGTTTTTAAGTTCTTACTGTTGATTAATAAATTGGTTTTTTATGTTTATTTCTGATATCATAAACTAAAACTGTTCCATCATATAATCCTACAGCTAATAATGCTGGACTTTAAGGATGAAAATCTAAACACATAACTCCAGCTTCACATGTAAATGCATATTCTGGATGAGTTGTATTTTTAAGAGAATATAAACATATAAGACCCATTCTTTATTTTGAAAATTCATAACTACCAAAACTTACAGCAAATAGATCCATATATCTAGGATTCCAACATAATGATGTTACATGTTTCTTTTTTTATTTCTCATTTGAAAATTTCCAAATAGGTAATAAATGTCTAATTATTTTATAAATCTTTACCCTTCATTTTTAGATGTTTCTACTACTTCCCCTTGATTCCAATAATATTTATAATCATTATATTTCTCTTTTTGATCATTGTGAACAACTGTTCTTTCCATAATTTTTAAACATCTTTTAAAAGATGGCTTATAAACTGTATTATCTGAAGTATGATCTTTCTTTTTTTAACTTTCTTCTTTGGCTTTATTTTATATATAAGCATCAAAAATTTCCCATTATGTAATTTACCCTTTTAATGTATCACTAGGAGGAGGTTCTGTTGATACACCTCTTTCTCTAATTACTCTTCCATCAGTTTATGCTTCTCTTGCATTATAATTAAATTTATTTCTCATTGTTTATTTAATTGCCTCTTTATCTTTTGATGCTCCAGGATCTTCCATTTCTTAATTTCTTTCTGCTTCTTTAATCAATGCTAATTTTGTATCCCATAATTCCTCTTGTATTCTGGCCTCATTTGAATCTTTGTGAATGATTTCTCCATCTAATCTGAAATGAATAATTAATTATTCAACTAATTCATCTGTTTTATACTATCATAATTTTGAGTAGTTACTTTTCTTTATAAATAATCATATTAAGTTATATTCTTTGGTGCTTGAGGATTGTTAGGAATCAACATTTTAGATGGCATATCTTCATTCAATTCTTTCTCTGTCAATTAAGGTCTATCTCTTTCTCTCTATAAATATTTATTTATTTCAAAACTTCATGTTAATATTCTGATTCATCACCATCTGGTTCAGCTTCTTATTAATTTAAATTCTAATTGGCTATTTTTGGTTGTTTTTTCTATCAATTATAATTAATAACTTACAGGTATTGGTCTCCTAAGGGTTACTTTTTATTATTTGGGTGGCATTTTAATTATTAAATAAACTTAATCAAAATATGATTGTATTTATAATAAATTCCACACATTTAATTATTATTTATTTACAAATTGACATTCTAACATGTCTTATTATAATTTTATATCTATAAAGAAAACCATAAGAATGAAATAGTATTATTCAGATAATTCTTAAATTAGTTTAAATTATTAAAGTTTATGATTGAAGAACAAAAATAATTTAATTTTGGAATTCGTATAAAAATATAAACAAACAGTGTTTTATACTCTCATTTTCTATTAATTAAATGAAATATTTATTTAAACTTTTCTTAAATCTCTTCATTTTCAATTTAATGAACTTCTCTTTTAAAATTTTCATAGAAATTTCTATTTATTTTACCTTTTTCATTTAGAATCTAATAAATATATATTTTTATAATTTACTTTAATACTAATTAAGAATTAATTTATGAATTTTTTCTCTAATAATTTAAGATTAATCATAGTTGACATATTTGGAATCAAATACATAATAACATTAATATCTATGCTTAGTTTGAGTGCTTCATATGATTCTGTTAATATTCTTGAGTATGGTCCTGACATTATTCCCTTTTTGAATAGCACACTTGTCATCATACATAAATCTTGTATATTTGCAGTTTTATATTCCTCACAATATAATTCCATACATTTTTCAACTAAATCATGAGTAGCAGTTGTTTATAATGCATGTAAACCAACAATCATAGATTTTAAATTTAACCTTTTTTAATGTACTGCATCTTCAAAACAATTATAAATAGATCTTAAAACATGATGTTTAGTAGGAGATTCTAGATCAGATTTAGATAATGTATGAATAATTTATGCTTCAACTCTTCCAAAATATTTGAATTCTAGTTTACTTAATAATTCATAGAGGAATTCATGCATATCATAAATTTCTAATTTTTAATAAGCTACTAATGTTTCCATAATTATTTATTCATCATTACAATCAGATATTTTTAATTAAATAAGTGGCATTAAATTTTTCAATGTAAGTTATGCTGCATTATATGCTATCAGTTTTTCAGTTTTGAGATCCATTTATATATTTTTTCTTGCAATTTTAGCTAATGAATATGCACAATTTGAAAGTGCTTTGATATTCATTTCAGTTGATTTTTTAATAAGCAAATCACAAGCCTAACTTATAAATAATTCAGGATCCTAAGTGTAAGTTATATTTGCCATCAATGCAGGAAGGTTGTCATGATCTTAATCAGACAAATTTTCAAGAACATGAGATATTAAATTTTATCTTGATCTTAAAACAGCTCTATTATGTACTTTACGAACATAAGTTAATAGATTATTAACTGTTTTTGCTGATTAGCTTGAATGAATAGTCTAAATTTATGCTGATTTAATACTTGAAGATGATCAAAAGCTTTAAGCGATTCATCTAATGATATATTCATCTTTTTAAAATTAGCATAAGTAGGAGCAATTGATGTTAGTTTTGATATTCTTTCAATCTATTTTGTTTATTGACTAAAGAAAAAGAATATTTTAATCATGAATTATAATTATAATTGTTTTATAAATATAATATATAAAGAGACTAGAAATTCACAAAAGGTTAAATTAATGTTTTCAACGTGGTAAAGATTAAATAGAGATATTGTGATAACACTTAAGAATGTAAATTAAAGAAAGAGAAAGTATTAAAGGTGATTTCAATATTGTTTTATGATATTTAAAATGTTGGTTTTGGAGAACATATAGTAAAGGAATTAAATAATCAAATAAATAAAATCATTCAAAATTGGATAATAGAATCAAAGAATTAGGAGGACCTGATCATATGAGATTAAGTGTTAAAATTCTGATATTAATAGAATTGATTTGACAGGAAAATAAAATTATAGATATTTACTAGTTTCAAAAAATTGACCATTTGTTTCTGAATTGTTTTTTAAAACACAAAACTTTAGGATCTGAGTTGAATAAGGTAGTTATGATACAATAATGTAAAATATCTCTTATTGTTTTTATGGAAGTCAGAATTAGGAGTGATTTTAGACGAGGAAAGGGAATAAGGGAGGTTTAGCTGAAGAAAAGGAATTGCAAAGATTTATTCAAGAATCAAATAGGAAATATCAAAAAGCAATTATTTGAATTTCTATATGTATTTTATTTATATCTATGTATTTTTTATCATATCTCATTTAATTCTTTAATGATTTAATTAAGAGTTTCTTAAAAGCAACCAGTTATAGATATATGATATGTTTATTTTTTTTGATTTGGATTTTCCTCATCAAAAACCTATGATAGAAAAGATTTAAGTTCAGTTAGATCATTTTTTTCATCAATCATTAAGGAAATTTATATTTATGGACTAAGTTATATTTAAAATCATTATACAAGTCTGCTTTTTTTATATACTCTATTAATCCTTTTAATTCTTAGCAATTATATTCAACTAAACTTGTAATAATTATGGATGTAGGATTAAATGTTTATAAATCATTTATTAATTTACCGTAAGATTTATTCAAATTTTATTTATCAAAATAATGAATATAATTCTATGGTTTCAAATAGTCTCTATAATAAATATGATAAATAGAAAACTCAACAGTTTCATACACATATTTATACGTTGAATTAGCAGTATCAATTTATTTTTGTTGGAGATTTAGCTAATATTAAAATAATTCAAATGAAGAATTTTACTTTTGATTGATTAAAGTAATATTATTTTACTCAATTAATTCATTCACCCATTGCTATTAAATGGGCTATGGTTTATTGTGTATTTTTTCTATTGGTATTAAGATTATACTATTTTTCAAATCTAGAATTTCTTTCTAAGTATCATATAAAAAATTTGGTTAACCAAAAAAAATTTTAATTTTAGCTTATTGTTTAGTAAATGAATAAACCTATTTCAATCCAGTATTATCATTTTATTCAATTATAATATCAACAGATGGATATTTGGTAGTAATTTATTGAATTAATTGACTAAATTAAATAAAGCAATTTTTTACTTTAAATTTGTACTTAATGATTTCTCAATAGAAATTTAAATAGTTTTCTTAGATTTTTCTATACACTTTTCTAATTGTTCTAATTATGATTTTAATTAAAATATTTTAATTGAATCTTTACTTATAATTTTCATTTTTGATTATTTTTCTTCAAGAAAATCTATCAATTAATATAACAATATATTACTTTTACATTCATATTACAAGATCATTTCTTATAATTTATCTTTATAATCATTGATTACTACATTAAAATTAAATCTATTTTTGAAAAAATAAAAATCAGTTACTTCTACTTAAGGTGAAATTTATTTGATTAAAAATTATACAAAGTAATCAACTTATTATTGTTTACCTAATATGGTTATATAATTCTGATTGTATTTTAATTTAATCTAATATTTATTTTAAAGATTTGTAATTTCTTTTTCTGTTAATTTTCTTAAATAATTAATTTAATTTATATTGTAAATACTTTATTTAACAATCTCTAGATCTTCATTCAGTTTCTTAAGAAATATAGATTATTAGACTCTACCATTAATGATAACAAAATAACTTAAGGCTTTTCCATTTATTTAGGTTTTAGACAATTAATAAACTTCATTCTCTAATATTATCTAAATATTATTTCTATCTAAATTAAAATTAAAATAATATTAGGCATTATTGCACAATTTAGAATTTTAAAAATCTAAGTAAAAATGAGTGAAATAGAATTACCACTAACCAATATTGCAGAAAAGATTCTACTCTTTATTTGTTTTAATGAATTTTATAATTCGTCTAAAGCTTATGTACTTTGTTTTGCTACTTCATAATCATAAAACTAATTTTAATTCAAAATTTCTTAAATTTACATTAATTATATTGATTCATCATCTAGATCTTTAAATTTGAGTATTCCACTTTAAATATTAAGAGTAGAATACTCTTTCATTAATATTTCTCCAGCTTTTGTAACAAGATGATGTGGTCCATATAAATCTATCTTAGATTTTTAAATTTATATTTATTACAATCTATTGACCTCTCCGTACTTCTACAAAAGTATATAAATGTTTTTCTATCCATTATTTAATTATAGGAACATAGTATTCAATAAATACATTATGAATATCAAATTGATGCTCATGTCTTACAATTTTTTTCTCAAAGACATTTTATTATTTAAGTTCTTTTTTATATCCATAGATTGTATAAACTTTTTGAGTATTATTTTGTTAGTTCTATTTCTTATAACCTCTTAAAGGAATATCTTCTTAACTTGAATAAACCTTGATTTAATGATAAGTATTCAAATAATCTACATATTATTTAAAACTTGTTTATGTATAGAATAGTTTATCTAGAAATTAATCTATCTAATATTAACAATCAAGATGTGTTATAATACATTGATCTTGTATAAACCAACTAAATTGAGTATCAAATTTCTAAGCTACATATTCTTTGAGATTGCATTCAAGTTAATAATCATTATAGAATATATCAGAGAATTAATGAAGTGGTATTTTATTAAAATTGTCCAAATTCAAAAATCGTTAAGAGTCTAATTTTTTAATAAGAACATCTGTTTATGAATTTAAATTAAGCACATTAATTTAAATATCAATATCTTGATTAATTAGTTCTGATAAGATGTAAGTGAAAACATCATATTTTTTTCTAATATTTGAGACTCTTAGATTTAATTTCATAAAATAATAATAATAATAATAATAATTCAAATCATGCTTACTGCAAACACACTACAAATACAATGAAGAGTATTTTTTTATTGTTCTTATTTTGCTTATTTATCTTTTGGCCAAGATATGATAATTTATCCATCAGCAACAGTATCCCACCATTAAGATGTTGTAACAAATGCTCCAGCTCCATTTCTTTACATAATCATACAATGAACAATATATCTACAATTTCTATACATTTTCTTACTTATAGGGTTTTCCCAATTCAATTAATTATTGTGTAACTTTTTCACAAATTGCATTAATCCATCCTTATACCTAGAGTAATAATATAGATTATATACTTTAGATTCATCATATTAAACTTCTTTTAAGACACTTTCAATGGATTCTTATGTTATACGATCTACTTCTTCTTATGAATAGGTATTTTCCTCTAAATTTTGATTTTCTTCCATTAATTTTATTAATGAAACAATAACTAAATTATACGCTATGGATTGGTTTCCTTGTTTCAACTATTTTGATATATCTATTTTTCAGTTCAGGAGAATTTAGTTTCATATTAACACTAGCTTGTGGAATATAATGTTTTGGATTTGGATTAGTATTTGTTACAATTTCAATAACAAAAGAGACTAGTGGATTAAGTAAATAAACTTTTATTTGTTGTGCATAAGCATTATTAGCAAGATTATTTTCTATTTTAACTTTCGAAGTATATTGATTATAGATAAATTAGGGTTATTTACCTTCAGATGCTACAGGTGATTATGTGTATAGATTATTCGAAATATTATCACTTATCTTTTGCATATTGACTGCATTTAGCATAAAAAATAATAAATAAGAATTATTCTAATGGTATTATTTCACTCCTGTAATGTTGGTGACTGCTTATTATGTTCATCCAGGATTGAATTCACATTCATTTTGTGACATATCCTGGGTATTTGCATTATATATGGAATCATTTGCAATATTGCCATAGATACACCTTTTTACAAAGAGAGGTTAGAATTCAACAATAATATAGAGGGAATAATTGAATATCATACATCTAATTTTGTAATCACTCAAGCTATCAATAAAGTAATATGTGTGATTTTTTGGTTTTATTCTTATGAAGAACTTAATAGAAGTGCAGATGAATCAACAATAAGTGTGGCACCTTGGTTAAGTGGTTATTTTGTGATGGTAGCTTAAATGATATCAATTGTAATTATTATAGTAAAAATATATAGATCATAACAACAGATTTTGTATATAAATATTTGCAAAGTTGGAAATAAGGTATTCCTTTGGTTATGTTACCTTCATGATATAGAAAATAATCAAAATATTATAATATATATATATATATTATCATTTTGCAAGCATCAATTATTAATATAATTGTTTTTTATTATTATTAAATTTATCCTATCCTATAGATTCCATATCAAATAACTTAGGTTATAAACAAGGTTTAGGAATCATTTATTATGGTTATTTTTTGATAGCTTATTTGACTCTAAAAAATGGAGGTTCAGATTATTATCTAGGTTAATTTTTGATATTTTTTAATTTACTAACTTTGGCACCAACCTATTCATCTTCTCCATGAACATTAATACTTTCAGGTCTTAATATATTTTGAAGTTTAGGAAGATTATTAACAGGAGTATTAGGTTTAAATGGAGCTCTAATTATATTATTCTTAGTTTATTATTATTATTATTATTATTAAGCAATTTAAGAGTCTTTTAAATCTTTTTTCTAATTTCTTTTTATATCTAGGATTCATTAATATTAAAAAATACTTGTTCCAGTCCAACTATCTTATAATGATGAAGCAAATTCTATATATTTATCATATTTTTAATAATCTTCAAGTGGATATATTTTAACATAATCTCCTAAATGTGCATTTTCATAATCATTCCTTTATTTTTCCCATTATTTCATTTATGAAATCTTTTCTTCCATAGTCAACTTTACTTTCTTACCAGTTAATACTCTTTACTAAAGAGATTCTTTTCTTGATGCAATTATTTATTCTTTGGCTTTTAAACTTACATTCATTAATTTTAATGTATCTCTAATAAGATTTTTCTTAATCAATGCATCA